GTTGACGAAAAGATTTTAGAGGAGTAGTGAATTAATGAACAGATATATCCTAAATATATCACGTGATCAGTAACAGAACATTGATTTTTTAATAGACTTTGAGTGAGTCCAATCCAATTGATGCGTAACATTGGCATTCAGAGTGAGTAATTCCATATGAAAAAAACACTATCTATGAGTAACAAGGTAATGGCACAACAGCAATGTGGTTTGCGACTCGTCGCAAAGTCTGTAGCATATTAATGGCTAGAATTTTTTCTGATTCGCTAAAATTCTGCTAACCACGTCACCTACATCTGCCAGAGACGCACCTAATCAGATTTGTAGGTTGACATTTGAAAATAGTGCGAAGCGAAAGTACTTAGATAAGCTGGAAGACCCAATAATTCTCCGGCGAGTCCTCTTGAAAATGACTAATTCATTAGAATTCTAACTAGAGTCTCAGCAAACATTGAGAGCTTCTATCAAATCACATGTAAAAATAGACTTTCATATTATACCTTCATTTCGAATGTTTTATTCAAGTCACTGTAAGTTCGGTGATATGTTGGCTCAAATAAAAATGAAGAGATCTATTGGAGTTTGAGGGTGAAACCATGACACGGTGAATTTTGTACCGTAATCTGTCCTGTGAACAACAATGATGAACGCCCTATAGGAGGTTTTGGTGATGCCGTGTCATGAATTAGGGTCTAGTGATCGACTCTGATTACGTTTGTTTCCTTAGTTGGCCCTTTTTATTGATGTCCGTCATCCTGTTTGGACTTTGTACTAGTTTTTAGGGGTTTGATTAGAGTTAATTTCAAAAAATATTCTAAAGCATGCCGAGGTTAATAGCGTGGTCTTGATAAAATACTCGAAATAAAGGTATAATATGATAAAAATACCAGCCAAAGAGCAATTGAGTGGGCAATACTGCAAGTTCGGTGATATTTTCACTTGACGGACAGTGTAAATCGTTCGTCTTCAATATTCTGTAGTGAGAGTAGGAGCTCCCGAAAGGATTAACTAAAAAAATTGAAACACACGGGTTCTGCCTGACCGAGGAGACTATAATGTTTAAACACGGTATCGGGCTCTATAAGAGCCCATTATCAGACCAATAGACTTTCAGTTTTCATAATCTTTATTCCAAAAATGTTTGTGACCTCTAGCTGTTAGATTTCAGTCACTGCAGAACATCTAATAACTTCACAATATGTATTCAATGAACATTTGTAAAGACAATAACAGATGTTTTGTTGGAAGACAGACAAGCTGAACTGGATCGCCATATGAACATCAAAAAAACCAATGTGCATCCTTGTCGAGTCGATCTCCTCTTAGAAGATCAGATTAAATACTAGACAAATAACGACCTTTGATTTACCATCTGTTCTGATTTAGCACACACACCAGGCCATTTATTCAGTTCAAAATTAGCGGATGACAATCAAAATCAATCAATATTGTCAAACTGACGAATATCTCAAAATATAGGTGGATCGATTAAGTTCATAATCGGCTGATTACTACAGAAGCTGGCCGATTCACTTTCATCAACTATCGAAAATGATCAAATATCAGTAGCATTATCACCTTGTAGATGTGAGATCAAATATTACGACATAAGTCTTTCAGTTTCATACCTTTCGTTTCGAATGTTTTCTTAGGAGCACGTTCAAATTTCAACATATCTCGTAAGTATTGTTTGAGCCAAAATTTGAGCGTGGTCTCAAGAAAACAGTCCAAACGAAAGGTATTATATATTATCGATACCAGCCTTGAGCAATCGAGTCTATAACACTGTCTGTTCAGTGATAATTTCGCTTGACTTACAATTTAAATGTTCGTCGTCACCTACTCTCAGTATAGAGCAGTGAGCACCCAGAGAGGATTGACTAAAGACGAGGGGTAGCGGACTACTGATGCGAGTGTCAAGGTCGAAACACGTGTATCGGACTCTATAAGTCAGCCCTATAACAGATCACATGGCATCTTGGCCAAATAATAGATACGAGATATCTTTCAGTTTCGAAATTGGTGTCAAAAATGTTCACAACTGCTCGGGAGCGGGCAGAATATCTTAGTGCAAGCATTTAAACTGTTTTGGTTACTCAAAGATAATTGGAAAATTGAAAATTTAGAAATTGAATGATGCAATTTCAATGATAGTCGAAAAAACGGTCGCTTTGATAAATCCGTGACGATTTTTATGCGCAATTATTTGTTTGATAACCAAGATCTGTCGCCTTTTTGTTATTTTTATTTTTTTACAGTGATTTCGTTACTTGATTTTTTTGTTGAGCTTGATGCTGTTTGAAAGCTCGTGATCTCGAAAAATGTGAACCATCTTATTTTTTGTAACTGTATAGAATTTCTGGTACGGTTCTATTATGGCGGCGCCACTTGAGGCCTACGGTAAATCGTATTTTTTGCTTTTGTAAAACGTTTTGTAAACTGTCTATAGCACATATCAAGTGAACTTCAATGGTATGTTCAATTTCTCAAATAATTTATTTTTGGTGCTGTACCATTCAAAATAAAGTTTTGTTCTCATTGGAAGATTTTTTACTGTGTAAAGGTTTTGTTGTAACGATCTTTTAATCATTAGATAGAGAAAATTTTTGCGATTGTAATGATATTTGACTTTCGAAAAGGACTTTTTTGAGCTTTGTAACTACTGAAAGAATATTGGATTTCACATTCAGTCAGCACTTCTAGTCGGCTAGGAAGTGTGTACAGCTGAAATACCAAAGAGCAAACACATTTTCTTAATCAGAAAGATTTGCTCTATCTAATGGTGTAAAAAAAAAACTTTTATCAGGCGAGAAATCTTTCAATATGGAGCAAAATCTTATTTTGACTGGTACGGCGTTACAAAAAATTTGAGGATAAAATATGCCTTAACAAAAATTTTAACTTCTCAGATAATCATAAATTCGTCAGATAACAGCAAAGAATGCGCTTTTATCGAAGGCCTCATGTGGCGCCGCCATTATAGAACAGTTCCGTATTGGTATCTTCAAATGTGAAACAAAATCTCATTTTGACTGATACGGCGTTAAAAACAAGCTATATGAGAAATAAAATATGCCTTTGAAATCCATTCAAATTAAGCTATCAAATAATCATGCATTCCTCAGATAACAGCAAAGGATACGCTTTTACCGAAGGCCACAAATGACGCCGCCACACACTATTTCTTTAATCTTTTGCAATGCCAGATGTAATGCAATGTAAACAATGCAATATATGAGCGAGCCTTGTAACGCCACTTTCGCAACCGATTTTGACGTGATGGTGCCGCCTTCACGAAGCTTTTTGAACCACCTTTGTGTAGTTCTCAATCAAAAGCCTTGTGATGAAGTGCTCTATGTAGTGTTGTGTCGCTTTGGTGGCAGTGATCCAAATAGAACGCTCTAGAGACGTTACCAACTTAGGTTTTGACGAGTGCATTCTAGTGTTAGAGAACATTCTATAAAGCTAGAAAAACTAGTTAAAAAAATAGTTCACAGATTTGAAATAACAAAATTATAGGCTTTTGAAGATATGAAAATGAGGAAGAAGACTAAGAAGTAAATTAATAGTATATAAATAAAAACTCTTCCTCACTTTGACACTTTATTAATGCTTCTTTGAAATGTCTTCTTTTTCTCATTGTGCAAATTTCAATACTTCTAGCATTCAGTTCGTGCACTTTCTTCCTTCTTCTCGAACGTTGTGGACTACTGGTTGGGCACGTTTTTTTTGCAATCTCGAGGATAGCCTGGTTGTGGCGTTGCATGGGCGCTCGTTGTTTAATGCCGGAGAGCGTTGGGGAGCGGGCTCAGCCCTCGCGCGCCATGATGAATATCACACCTACTCGTTATGACTCCTCGAAATAATAAAAGTAACAAAAATGCGACACCAGCCCTCTTTCGAACCTAGTTTAGCTACCCAATTCTCAAATGCATTGGTGCAGACACCATTAAATAGATCATCTGCGATAAGGGCGAGCGATTATCTTAGTGGTTTGACCAGCGAAGAAGTTTCACAGCGCCTGTCAATGCCGATAGAGCACCAAAAAATATTATACTGCCAGCCTTCTTTTATATTTTGCTCCGCTTCTTGTTCAATTCATCCTTTTTCGGGATTCTGAGTAAATGATTGCGGTAACGAAGCATTCCCGGTAAATCGACGAAATGAAAAAAGTTTCAATTGACACTGATCATTAAGCCCTCTTAATTAGTTGGTAGCAGTTCTTCATGCAGTTTAAAATCTTACTGTGCAATGACTGCTTTAAAAATCAATCCGAGGTCGAAGCAATCCTCACCAACTTCATCGCCACTGAAGACCATTTTGTCCAACTGGTATTTTTTTGTTTTCCACTATTACCATTGCTTCGACGTTGCACAGTTTTAGAATAGTGATGCCGTACTATAGAAACTATTATCAATGATTTGTTTGTGGCTACTACGTTTACTTTCCTTTTTTCGATAGCAGAAAGCTGGTGTTGATATTTAGAGCAGTATTTGAATGTTTTTGTAATTTAGAGCAGTATTTGAATGTTTTGGTAGTATCACCAGATGCAATTGTCATGGTGACCAGCAGATTGCAATTTCAAGGACACGGGGAGATTTGTGAGCGAGCGGCTAGTGATGCTCGACACGAAATCGATCCCACAGCTTTCCAGCACTCTCCGGCAATCAATAACGAGCGCCTTACGGAACATTTCGATCTAGTTAACTTCGAGATTGCAAGGAGGCGTACTCGACATTATTACACGATGCTTGAGAGGGAGATGAAATACTGTAGTGAGCGAGAAGACGAGTCGAATACTAGAAGTACTGGGACGCACGCCAACAGAAAAATACTGTTTTATAGGTCGAATATAACGATAAAGTAATGCGAGGGTATCATATATACCTAAGAGAATTGAGTGTGAGCAAAAGCAGGATCTCAGACAGGAGTTAAACCCGTGTTTCATTCTCACCAAGGATTATCATAGAGATGTTGAAGAATGAGTGTGGTGCTAATGTACCTCGGTGGTGTAGTGGTAGCATGAGTCCCCTCTATGGATGGAACGCGGGTATGACTCCAGTCTGAGGTTGCACTTTTGCTCACCGCTCAGTTCTCTTAGGCATATATGAATTATTATAACACTGCAAAAGAGGCAGTAAAAAGCACTAGAAATTAATGTGGAAACTCAAAAATGCATAATCTAATAGAATGTTCAAAGCTTTTCAGAGGTCTGTTACGGCATCTTCAGTGTTATACGTACTTCTCTATCGGTAATGATATTTCATCGATCAGTACTTCACTCTAGAAGACTTAACTCATTTTACAATGAACCTAAAAGCTACAAAGTGTTAGCCCAATGAATGCTCTTGAATATCCTCGTCTTGACTTGATATTTTTGCAATGTACTGATTATTCATATCAGCTGAATGAGTGTTGATTCTGCACAATTGACACTGGATGTCAAACTACTGTCTGACTACGCTGTACACAAATGCATAAAGTTAAGTGGAATTTATTTCGATCGCGTTTATAATGTAATCTATGCCCGTTACAAAGCAATAAACTTCTGACGTACGTGGAACGTTGCATAATGGAACAGGATTTGTCATTGATATTCAATGAAACTGTCGCAACAGTTCCAAGTATTAACGCTCGAACAACCGCGGCATTTATCGAGAAGGCAGTCTGAACTTAAAAAAATCTTCAAATCAGGTCCAGCTAAGTGGTTAGAAGTGCACGACGACGCACACTGTTTCGTCAGTGGTTCAAACCCGCGCTGAAGCCCGGAAACCCTGAATTCCTCGAGCTCGGTATGATAATATCACAGCAACAAAGTCAGATGAAAAATATAGTTATGTGAAGAACTGAAGAAACCTGTTGATTGAAGCTTTCCATATCTTCTGCAATAGCCTTTGAGTGAAACTACGTTCTAAGAATTGATCAAATGACTCAGGAAGAAAAACAGCATACTCTTATGGATTATTAAGATGCAAATTTTGTATGGTTTTTTTCATAATGATTTTATCTTGTCATCAGTAGTAAAGTGTAAATCCATCAAGATTATCCGTTAGGAATGATGAATACCTTCCGACACACGAAGATTCGTTCTACGAAAAACATGAAAAAAATCTATATTCAGTCACTTTACCTACTGCTCGACACAGAAACAAGTACAACGGTTTTAAAAAACCTTCATTACAACACTAATGTCCGCACTAATAAACAGGTATCCGTATTTCCATATGCACTGAGTTATCGTGACCTACGGACGTAAAACTGTCAATGCTGGTATCCTCCCAGACAAATCTGGTCGCAAATTGCCAATTTCGGAGGAATGGAGAGCTTCTAAGCGATCGGAATACGATACTGAACCAGCAGCCGATAATTTGCATCGGAGCGACACGTCCAAAGTCGCTTCATGTTCAGGTAAATGTTTCATGGAAAATCTGTATTTTACAGCGCCAAATGAGCTTGTTGCGGTGAAGAATTTATTACTGATTGGCCATTTAAGATGTTCCTCCTCATATCTTAGCATTATTTCTAAGATTTATATCGACGAAATATTGATAAACCTACTGTATTGAATGTCTGCTGGATTATGCCGCAGTGATAAAAAATTTCGGGAGGCGAATTTTCATCTGCGCTGTGGATTTATGTTCCTCACGTCGTCATCTGTAGCATGTGCAGCATCTGATGCATGATTTGACTGGCTGCTTTGCATTAAAAAGGGATTATTATAAATTATCAGTGAAAACACTCAAAAAGTTACAAAAGGAGTAACATTGAAACATCACGCACATTTTAACTTATGCCTACGCATTCGTATTCTTCATTAGTAAAAGAAATGTTTCAGTGAAAGATGACAGTAATCGTATGTCTTCTGGCCTTTGCTTCGACTGCATTTGCCTGCTCTTGGGTGAAACCGCCGTCCATTGAGGACGCCTTTTGCGCGACATGTTTAGGTCAACTTACCACATTCTTAATGATCCTTTAGGTGTGAATGGAAGGAAATGAGACTCAAGTTATTCAAGAATTATGCCAAAATGCTCTTGTTATCATAATACTATAGTCTGCGGTCTACGAGTAAATCACAAAACACTATAATAGTCATGAGGAAGTGACCAATGAGACCAGTCTCAACAAACTATTTGGTTGCAAATCCTTAACAAAGTGCTTCTTGCTAAACAGTACATTTTCAATTATTTATACTAGCCACAAACACCGCATCTGATGATTTTGGTCTAACCTGTTCAGAAAATGCTATGTGTAATCGTCTTGAAATGAATTATAACCACATAAACAGTATGAATGTAACTGTTAGAACGTACTCTTTCTCGACTATCATTCTGAGGATAGATGAGCTGTCAGAGAGCGTGTACAGAATTAGAGCCAAAGACTGGTATCGAAATCACGAGGCTTCTAAACAAATTTTCGATTGTTATAACACACTTTCGCATAGATTATGAATTCTTCTGATACCTTTATAAACTAATATATGTCTGAAATGAAGGAGTTATTGCCTTGTTCATAAAAGGAGATTACTTGCTTTACATACTAAAAGACAGTAATTAACTGAACGACGATCTTGATAGGAAAATTGTCTCTTTGAAACAAAGAATTATCTTGAAAGCAATTTTTTGAGATTTTTAATCAAAGCAAATTCAAGTAATTTGGTTTTAATGGCCACTTCGTCATGTCTGTAGTGCTTTGTGACCTACTCGTGAATCGTTACGATGTGGTAATGTGATCATAGCAACGTTTCCGACAAATAATTCCAATGAACAGTCAACATCTCTTTTTAAGTTTCACACTTCAACTCCATAAAGAATCTGATATTTCTTACCTAAATCCGCAGCACAAAAGGCGACTTTGGCGGACGGTGGAAAATAAGTGCAGGCGATTTTGGTCGAAACAAGGACCCGAAGATATACAAAATACGAATGGTCGTTCTTTGGAAGCACTCACTGCGATCTATGTGTGGAAATAGTTTTTTATACTATCTGTTCTTGTACCACAGTCTTTATGCTGCATTCCCAAATTTCTGCCAGGAAAACACTACTTCAGTCCTTTTGTGCCGATGTTGAAAGTTTACAAGGTAGCTTTCTGGCACCTGTCAAAACCGAATAGCGCCCAAAGAATAATAAACTGTCACCTTTTTTGCCTTTTTCTCAACTTGATTCGTCCATCTCACGTTTGCATGAAACGGCTGCCTCAATAAGCATTTTTGGCAAATCGATTACATGGAAAACATTCTCACTCAGCTAATTCCATTTCCTCAAACATTTTGACAATTCTCTCTTTGATAAGCGCTCTAAAAATGAGGCCGAGGACGAAGCTGCCCTCAACGACTTGATCATCCCTGAATGCCGTTTTTGGTCCAATTCGTGTGGTTTTATTGTCCTGTCATCCATCATGTCGAGGTTGCAGAGCAGCAGTGCAAAGGTGATGTCGCATTGTGGAACTACTCTATCAATAAAGGCTGATAGCTATTACGCCTACTTACCTTAGCATCGGAAGCAGCATAGGTAGGACACCTCTAATAGCCGCTACACGTCTCAGAGACTATCCGAATTCTGCGAGTCAAACGGAGGTGCTACGGTAGAACAATTTTTGCTAGGTCATCTAGAACGATTATACTCCTATTTTGTCAACACTGTCAACGTACACGCAGTCGGAATATCGATGAACCCACTATACTAATGTTGTCGCATTAGGTCGCTGCATTGAATACAATTATTTTTGAGAACGTAATTTATTATCTGGAATGAAAATATAGACCTACAGCAGCCGATGTGTGATGTGGCTGGCTAGTTTGCAATAGTGATCGGATCATTCTAGTCAAGTGGAATACCACGTATTGCACCGTTTTTCTTCCAGTCGATGTTTTTGCGGATCACTTGCGGAGACATCATCTCACGTCACTAAGACCAATCATTCCTAAAAGGCTTTGTAAAAATTCTGTGGAAATATACATCAATATATGTATATATATATATATATATATATTGAAGTCCTATAGAGATTTTTGAGAATCGATCGTATAGAAGGCAATCTTTTTCACCAGCAAAAAAGAACCAGCGGCGGATAGTTTGCTCACGTAAAACATCCCTAACAGCCGTTATAAGCCCAGCTACAGTCTCATGGATAATTCGTATTATGCAGTACAAAACGGGGTGCCACAGTAAAGAACATTTCCTGCTGGGTTATTTAGAACGACTATACTCTGATTTCTCACTCTGTCTATGTCTAGTTATACAAACGTCAACGGAATACCGATGAACCTACAATATTGAATGTCTGCTGGATTAGATCCCAGCATCAGCACTGAATTTTTTTTTGGTAAGGCGATTTATTATGTGGAACGAAAATATTCGTTCTTTGGTTGATCAGCTACAGTAGCTGATGTGTGATGTGGCTGATTACTTTGCATTACTGATGGGATCATTCTAATTTGTCAGTAACATCGCTCGAAAAGTATATAAAAGGAGTGAAAGTGGCATACAACACACAGCTTCACTTATATCCTACAAATTCGTGCTTTTCAACTAACACAATAAGTATTCTAGTGAGCGATCATGGCAATCGTATATCTCCTGGCCCTTGTTTCGACAACAATCGCCTGCACTTGTGTTCCATCGTCTGCCAAGGACGCCTTTTGTGCTGCGGATTTAGGTGAGAGCTGATCAGATTTCTCATGAAGTTTAGGTGTAAAACGAAAAAAATGGAGATGTTGACCGTTCATTAGAATCACTTGCCGAAACGCTGCCATAATTACATTACCATAACATACGATTTACGAGTTTGTCAGAAAACACTATAGACATAACGAATTGACCATTAGAACCAGACTTCGTGGTTTCGCTTTGGTGACAAATACTACAAATTGCTACTAAGATATGTCTTTGCTTTTGAACAAATGATTTTTCGATGACAATCGCCGTTCAGTTATTTTCTGTCTTTTTAGTATCTAAAGTAAAAGTAATCTCCTTCCATGAACAAGGCAATAATTCCTACACGTCCGACTCAGCCTACTACGTCAGGCATAGATTAGTTTATAAGGTATCAGAAGAATTTATTATCTATCCGAAA